CACAACAACACCAGTACACACAACAACACCAGTACACACAACACCAGTGAACACAACAACACCAGTGAACACAACAACACCAGTACACACAACAACACTAGTACACACAACAACACCAGTTTACACAACAACACCAGTACTCACAACAACACCCGTGTACACAACATCAGTACGCACAACAACACCAGTGTACACAACAACACCAGTACACACAACACCAGTGTACACAACAACTCCAGTGTACACAACAACACCAGTGTACACAACAACACCAGTACACACAACAACAACACCAGTACAAACAACAACACCACCAGTACACAACAACACCAGTACACACAACAACACCAGGGTACACACCATCACCAGTACACACAACAACACCAGTGTACACAACAACACCAGTACACACAACACCAGTGTACACAACAACACCAGTGTACACAACAACACCAGTACACACAACAACACCAGTACACACAACAACAGAAGTGTACAACACCAAGACACACAACAACACCAGTTTACACAACAACACCAGTACACACAACACCAGTGTACACGACACCAGTACACACAACAACACCAATACAGACAACAACACCAGGGTACACAACAACACCACTAGTACACACAACAACACCAGTGTACACAACAACACCAGTACACACAACAACACCACCAGTACTCACAACAGCACCAGTGCACACAACAACACCAGTGTACACAACACCCGTACACTCAACAACACCAGTGAACACAACAACACCAGTACACACATCACCAATGTGCACAACAACACCAGTGTAGAACACCAGTGAACACAACAACACCAGTGTACACAACAACACCAGTGAACACAACAACACCAGTGAACACAACAACACTAGTGTACACAACAGCACCAGTGAACACAACAACACTAGTGTACACAACAGCACCAGTACACACAACAACACCAGTGTACACAACAACACCAGTACACACAACAACACCAGTTTACACAACAACACCAGTACACACAACAACACCAGTGTACACAACATCAGTACACACAACAGCACCAGTGTACACAACATCAGTACACACAACAACACCAGTGTACACAACATCAGTACACACAAACACCAGTGTACACAACAACTCCAGTGTAGAACACCAGTGAACACAACAACACCAGTGTACACAACAACACCAGTACACACAACAACACCAGTACACACAACACCAGTGAACACAACAACACCAGTGAACACAACAACACCAGTACACACAACAACACCAGTTTACACAACAACACCAGTACTCACAACAACACCCGTGTACACAACATCAATACGCACAACAACACCAGTGTACACAACAACACCAGTGTACACAACAACACCAGTGTACACAACAGCACCAGTGTACACAACAACACCAGTGTACACAACAACACCAATACACACAACACCAGTGAACACAACAACACCAGTGAACACAACAACACCAGTACACACAACAATATCAGTGTACACCACAACACCAGTGTACACAACAACACCAGTGTACACAACAGCACCAGTGTACACAACAACACCAGTGTACACACAACACCAGTACTCACAACACCAGTACACAGAACAACACCAGTGTACACAACAGCACCAGTACACACAACAACACCAGTGTACAACACCAGTGTACACAACAACACCAGTGTACAACACCAGTGTGCAACACCAGTACACACAACACCAGTGTACACAACAACACCAGTGTACACAACAAGACCAGTACACACAACACCACCAGTACACACAACAACCCCAGTGTACACAACAACACCAGTGTACACAATAACACCAGTGTACACAACAACACTAGTGCACACAAGAACACCAGTACACACAACAACATCAGTGTACACAATAACACCAGTGTACACAACAACACCAGTGAACACAACAACACCAGTGTACACAACAACACTTGTGTACACAACAGCATCAGTACACACAACAACACCAGTGTACACAACAACACCAGTACACACAATAACACCAGTGTACACAACAACACCAGTACACACAACAACACCAGTGTACACAACAACTCCAGTGTAGAACACCAGTGAACACAACAACACCTGTGTACACAACAACACCAGTACACACAACACCAGTGAACACAATAACACCAGTAAGCACAACAACACCAGTACACACAACAACACCAGTACACACAACAACACCAGTTTACACAACAACACCGGTGTACACAACAACACCAGTGTACACAACAACACCAGTACACACAACAACACCAGTGTACACAACAACACCAGTACACACAACAACACCAGTGTACACAACACCAGTACACACAACAACACCAGTGTACACAACAACACCAGTGTACACAACAACACCAGTGTAGAACACCAGGGAACACAACAACATCAGTGTACACAACAACACCAGTGTACACAACAGCACCAGTGTTCACAACAACACCAGTGTACACAACAACACCAGTGTACACACAACACCAGTGTACACAACGACACCAGTATACACAACAACACCAGTGTACACAACAACACCAGTAAACACAACAACACCAGTATACACAACAACACCAGTGTACACAACAACACCAGTGTACACAACAACACCAGTAAACACAACAACACCAGTGTACACAACAACACCAGTATACACAACAACACCAGTGTACACAACAACACCAGTGTACACAACAACACCAGTATACACAACAACACCAGTGTACACAACAACACCAGTGTACACAACAACACCAGTATACACAACAACACCAGTAAACACAACAACACCAGTATACACAACAACACCAGTGTACACAACAACACCAGTGTACACAACAACACCAGTAAACACAACAACACCAGTGTACACAACAACACCAGTATACACAACAACACCAGTGTACACAACAACACCAGTGTACACAACGACACCAGTATACACAACAACACCAGTGTACACAACAACACCAGTGTACACAACAACACCAGTGTACACAACAACACCAGTGTACACAACAACACCAGTGTACACAACAACACCAGTGTACACAACAACACCAGTGTACACAACAACACCAGTGTGCACAACAACACCAGTGTACACAACACCAGTGTACACAATAACACTAGTGCACACAACAACACCAGTGTACACAACAACACCAGTGTACACAACTACACCAGTGTACACAACAACACCTGTGTACACAACAACACCAGTGTACACAACAACACCAGTGTACACAATAACACCAGTACACACAACAACACCAGTGTACAACACCAGTGTACACAACAACACCAGTGTACACAATAACACTAGAGCACACAACAACACCAGTATACACAACAACACCAGTGTACACAACAACACCAGTATACACAACAACACCTGTGTACACAACAACACCAGTGTACACAACGACACCAGTATACACAACAACACCAGTATACACAACAACACCAGTATACACAACAACACCAGTGTACACAACAACACCAGTATACACAACAACACCAGTGTACACAACAACACCAGTATACACAACAACACCAGTGTACACAACAACACCAGTGTACACAACAACACCAGTATACACAACAACACCAGTGTACACAACAACACCAGCCACAATAGTTGTAACTCCTGTTAACAACTCAGTAACACAAGCAAATGGGTATCCAGGGTAAATTTCAAAGTAAGTGTAAACACTCAGGTTTACACTTTCCTGAGCAAACTCAGGAAAGTGTAAGTATTGGCTGCTAAAGTTCAACTCAGGAAAGTGTAAGGTAATGAAATTAGGCGAAGGGAGCTGGAGGCTGAACACAATGTACCATCTGGGAGGTGATATCCTGCAAGAGTCATATAGAAAGATCTGGGGGTTGATATCACACCGAACCTGTCCCCAGAGGCCCACATGAAAAGGATATCGTCAGCGGCATATGCTAGACTGGCCAACATAAGAACTGCTTTTAGAAACTTGTGTAAGGAATCGTTCAGGACCCTGTATGCCACTTATGTCAGACCAATCCTGGAGTATGCAACTCCAGCATGGAGTATTTACATAGTTATACACATGACGAAGATAGAGAAGCTTCAGAGGTATTCCACCAGAAATGAGAGATATGAGCTACAAGGAAAGGCTACGAGAGCTAAGCCTCACGTCCTTCGAAGACAAAAGAGAAAGGGGAGACATGATCCCCACCTACAAAATTGTCATTAAAAGATAAATAGTACTTAAGAACAATATTTTGAATAAAGAAGGTATTTAGGATAAATTAGCAACTGATAGAAATGTGCTTCTGGGTGGATGATTGATCTGCTGCAGAGTTGAAGACGTTTTGTAAGTGTTGGTAGTAGTCATGGAGCCTGTATGGTGACCCGGAGCCTGTATGGTGACCCGGAGCTTGGTGCAAGCAGTCGAATGTTGTTGTTTTAGATTCAGCTACTCGGAACAAGTTGCAAGTAGCACGGGCTATGGTGAGCCCGTAGTGGACTTACCTGGCACAGGAGCGGGGCAAGTAGCACGGGCTATGGTGAGCCCGTAGTGGACTTACCTGGCACAGGAGCGGGGCAAGTAGCACGGGCTATGGTGAGCCCGTAGTGGACTTACCTGGCACAGGAGCGGGGCAAGTAGCACGGGCTATGGTGAGCCCGTAGTGGACTAACCTGGCGCAGGAGCGGGGCAAGTAGCACGGGCTATGGTGAGCCCGTAGTGGACTTACCCGGCACAGGAGCGGGGCAAGTAGCACGGGCTATGGTGAGCCCGTAGTGGACTTACCTGGCACAGGAGAGGGGCAAGTAGCACGGGCTATAGTGAGCCCGTAGTGGACTTCCCTGGCACAGGAGCGGGGCAAGTAGCATGGGCTATGGTGAGCCCGTAGTGGACTTCCCTGGCACAGAGGCGGGGCTGTAACACGAAAAGCAAAAAGCAGTCGACGCTGCGCAATGGGTTCAGCGGCTGCTGTTGTAAAGAAGTGTGCCACTTGCCGTCAGAGGGAGCCCTTGCGAAACTACGCAATACGCAATAGAGAGTGCAACGGCCGGGGTCATGGCGTAGGAACTGGTCGCCAGCTGTGTATGTTACTCTTAATTATATCCAAGCACTTCTGCGGTAAATTTTCAAGGGCACATTCTAACAAAACACTTGATTAAACACCTGATAAAACACTTGATAAAACACTTGATAAAACACCTGGTAAAACACCATATAAAACACCTTATAAAACACTTGATAAAACACCTTATAAAACACTTGATAAAACACCTGATAAAACACCTGATAAAACACTTGCGAAAACACTTGCTAAAGCACTTGCTAAAACGCCTGATAAAACACCTGATAAAACACCCGATAAAACACTTGATAAAACACCTGATAAAACACCTGATAAAACCCTTTATAAAACACTTGATAAAACATCTGATAAAACACTTGATAAAACACTTGATAAAACGCCTGATAAAACGCCTTATAAAACACCTTATAAAACACTTGATAAAACACCTTATAAAACACTTGATAAAACACCTGATAAAACACCTGATAAAACACTTGCTAAAACACTTGCTAAAACACTTGCTAAAGCACTTTTATAACACCTGATAAAACACCTGATAAAACACTTGATAAAACACTTGATAAAACACCTGATATAACACTTGTTAAAACACTTGATAAAACCCCCTTATAAAACACTTGATAAAACACCTGATAAACCATTTGATAAAAAACTAGTAAAACACTTCATTAGACACGTGATAAAACACTTGATAAAACACTTGATAAAACACCCGATAAAACACTTGATAAAACACCTGATAAAATCCTTTATAAAACACCCGATAAAACACTTGATAAAACACCTGATAAAACACTTGATTAAACACTTGATAAAACACTTGATAAAACACCTGATAAAACACCTCATAAAACACCTGATAAAACACCTGATAAAAAGGCTTGATAAAACACCTGATAAAACACTTGATAAAACACCTGATATAACACCTGATAAAACACTTGATAAAACACCTGATAAATGACTTGATAAAACACCTGATAAAACACCTGATAAAACACTTGATAAAACGCCTGATAAAACACTTGATAAAACTCTTGATAAAACACCTGATAAAACACTTGATAAAACACATGATATAACACCTGATAAAACACTTGATAAAACGCCTGATAAAACACCTGATAAAACACTTGATAAAACACTTCATACAACACCTGATAAAACACCTGATAAAACACTTGATAAAACACCTGATAAAACACTTGATATAACACTTGATAAAACACATGATAAAACTCTTGATATAATACCTGATAAAACACTTGATAAAGCACTTGATAAAACACTTGATAAAACACCTGATTAAAACACTTGATATAACACTTGATGAAACACTTTATAAAACAGTTGATAAAACTCTTGATAAAACACCTGATAAAACACTTGATATAACACCTGATAAAACACTTGATGGGGTTCTGGGAGTTCTTCTACTCCCCAAGCCCGGCCCGAGGCCAGGCTCGACTTGTGAGAGTTTGGTCCACCAGGCTGTTGCTTGGAGCGGCCCGCAGGCCCACATACCCATCACAGCCCGGCTGATCCGGAACTTCTCTTAGAAAACAGTCCAATTTTCTCTTGAAGATATCCACGGTTGTTCCGGCAATATTTCTTATAGTCGCTGGGAGGACGTTGAACAACTGCGGACCTCTGATGTTTATACGGTGTTCTCCGATTGTGCCTATGGCACCTCTGCTCTTCACTGGTTCAATCTTGCATTTCTTCCATATCGTTCAGTCCAGTACGTTGTTATTTTACTGTGTAGATTTGGGACCTGTCCCTCCAGTATTTTCCATGTATATATTATTTGGTATCTCTCTCGTCTCCTTTCTAGAGAGTACATTTGGAGAGCTTTGAGACGATCCCAATAATTTAGGTGCTTTATCTCATCTTTGCGTGCCTTATATGTTCTCTGTATTCCCTCTATTTCAGCAATCTCTCCTGCTCTGAAGGGGGAAGTGAGTACTGAGCAGTACTCAAGACGGGACAACACAAGTGACTTGAAGAGTACAACCATTGTGATGGGATCCCTGGACTTGAAAGTTCTCGTAATCCATCCGATCATTTTTCTGGCTGATGCAATATTTGCTTGGTTATGCTCCCTAAACGTTAGGTCGTCGGCCATCATTATTCCCAAATCCTTGACATGCTGTTTTTCTACTATGGGAAGAATCGATTGTATTTTGTACCCTGTATTATGTTTCAGATCCTCATTTTTGCCGTACCTGAGTACCTGAAATTTATCACTGTGAAACATCATGTTATTTTCTGCTGCCCAATCGAAAACTTTGTTGACATCTGCTTGTAATTTTTCAATGTCTTCAGCAGAGGTAATTTTCATGCTGATTTTTGTGTCATCTGCGAAGGATGACACGAAGCTGTGACTTGTATTTTTGTCTATATCTGATATGAGAATAAGGAACAACAGTGGTGCAAGGACTGTACCTTGAGGTACAGAGCTTTTAACTTCGCTTGGACTCGATTTTATTTGATTGACTGTTACTCTTTGTGTTCTGTTCGACAGGAAATTGAGTATCCAGCGTCCTACTTTTCCAGTTATTCCCATTTACCTCGATTTGTGTGCTATCACCCTTTGGTCACATTTGTCGAACGCCTTTGCAAAGTCTGTGTATTCGACATCTGCATTTTGCTTTTCTTCTAGAGCTTCTGTGATTTTGTCATAGTGGTTGAGTAACACCTGGTTGTAGTGGAGTAGTGGTACTGTACTGGAGTAGTGGTTGATATAACACCTGATAAAACACTTGATAAAACACCTGATAAAATACCTAATAAAACACCTGATAAAACACTTGATAAAACACCTGATAAAGCACCTAATAAAACACCTAATAAAACACCTAATAAAGCACCTGATAAAGCACCTGATAAAACACCTAATAAAACACCTGATAAAACACCTAATAAAACACCTGATAAAATACTAACGTCCCATCTAATGTTGATAATTATAGTGAAATGTTTATGTTACATTTATCACAGCGTAACTTTATACAGAATATTTGATTGTCCATTCACTTGGTTCTTGTAGAGTCGGCATTTGATATCCTCAATGGTTTTAAGGGTTACTCATGCCCGTGCCGCCTCTTGAGTGGTTTAATCTACATCAATCAATCAAATCCCCGATGGTGACAGTTGTTCCTCCACTCCGCCCTCACAACCCAGCTGTCATGCCACTTGAAAAGGCAACGTAGGCTTACATTTGTAGTGCTTTTGCCTCGAACTAATCTAACGGTATTCCTTAATAGATTCAACTATCATTGTAATATCCCTTTATTTTCCTATCATTAGCGGTGTTCAAGGGGGTGACGGACTCTCTCTAAAACAGAACAAAATATCCAGTTTTCCTCAGCTGGACTGGCCAAGCCTATCAAATTCCATTATCTCTACTCTGCAATGGTCCCTTCGGTATCTCTAGATCCCCAGCGATGGATCGCAGCGCGCTTGAATCTGGACGTGATAAGCTGGATGGAGGTGGAGAGGAGGTAGGCGAGGATAAAGGAGAAGGACGAGGAAGATTGAGAAGGGTCTTGGGGGAGCATTTCTTGGAAGACGCTTTCAGAGGTCGTCATCCTGGAGCCACCGTGACCAACAGCTCCAGGGACCATAGCGGGGCGCTGCTGGTCGCTGTTGCTGACGCTACCTGTAACGCCGCCGACGCCGTTGCTAGCACCGCTAACGCAGCAATAGCGGGCCCCTGAAGACGCTACCAGTAACGCCGCCGCCGTTGCTAGCACCGCTAACGCAGCAATAGCGGCCCCTGAAGACGCTACCTCCATGGTCTTCATCAGCGCCGCCGTAGACGCCACCGGGAACGATGTCGCTAGCGCCAATATTTACTCCGCAGCCACTAACGGCGACGCTGCCTTCACCTCAACCCTTTTTTCTCTTCCTCTGTCCTGGCGCCGTTTTCTTTATGAGATTTCAGTCTCAATTTCTGGCTAGTTAGGGCGTTCCTGGAAGTGGTGATGGAACACCGTCCCAGCAACGGTCCGCGACTCACCAATCTGGCTTTAGATGCTGCCGGAATGCCAACGATGTTGATGTGGTCAACACGTGGTCCATGACTCCCATTAATTGTTAATGCAGTACATAACAATTCCTAATAATTTACATTAATGATTGCACAGAGAAATCACATTAAATATCAAATAACATATTCACATGAGCCGTGATGAGGGTTCGAATCTATGTGCCTGGGTGTAGGATTGAATGGCGAATATCTGCAAACCTTCAAAATGAGTTGTTTATATTGTTATTTAATAAAAAAATCGCAGGAAAATACACAGAGGAATTACATGATATATCGAGGAGAAAATTAATATATTGCGAGGCTTCAGTGGAAGCCTCGGGAATCCTCGAGGGGTGCAGTAGTACCCCTGGTTGGAATTCTTTTGACCATGTAGTGGCAGAGACGTTTAAAGCGTTCATCTGGGAATACCCAGCACATAGGTTCGAATCCTAATCAATATCCGAATGCTCGTGTGGATTTTCTAGTAGGAGAATGTTTGAGATCGTCTGCGGACAAATATCAGGCAATAACATGTATCCAAAACTTCCTTCATTATAATATATCTATTATCATTTCACATTTAAAATTAAATTTACTATTATTAAAATTTACTTAATAATAGTAAAAATTTACTTACGATTATGCTAGATCGTTCTTCAACTGTACTTTGCTTTCGTCCTGTATTTGACCTATTGCCAACAATAACCATAACTACATAATTATTAACGTAAACAGGTTATTAAAACTTATTAAAAGTCAACTAAGAGAGGCTATATATAATGATCTCTGTGCAGGTAGTTCTTAGCTGCCTGTTATTGTCTTCGCAAGATCCTTAAACAAAGTTTTCCAATTACACTAATAATTTCTTCAACGATCACTTTCAAGTTATAAACTGGTCAAATTTCACTTATCGCATCGCTTACTAAAAATAAGTTTATTATTGAAAATGTATCATTGGTTGTTACAGAAATTGGTGCTTTGAAACTGTATGATTCTGTAAGTTGCGTAGGCTAGTGCGGACGTTGAATCTTTGTTTATATTTGTTCTACTTGAAGAAACTTTAGAGTTGATTTATATGCAATCAATTGTGAATTTTTTTAAGTGGAATATTTATGAACAAAGAATCATCGTCCTAACAAACCGTAATTACAGAACTATAAAGTTTCAAAACACGAATTTCTGGAAGAAACTGTGATCAATTCTCAATAATAAACTGAGTTACAGCAAAATGTGTTATTATTGGAATCAAGAAGATCCTTGTACTTTTGGTTTCAATACAAAACAGTTTGGTAAATAATTTGTGATTGCAACATCACGTTCTGTGTTTACATTTGATGGTAAACTCAGTTCCTAAACAGATGGGGGCAGCAATGGGTTCAGCCTACTGCTGTCCCATCTGTTTGGGATGGGGCCCACTTTACTAAATTAACGTTCTTCTGAGATTTTGAGAATCTTTGAATTAATATATAATAAAAATAATTATATCG